CCTGTGCTCAGTGTCAGTGGATGTGTTTGTTCATACATGCTCTATTTATTACAACACAGCAGCAGCAATACTCACAAGTTACAATTAGGAAAGACTTACTTTATATAGAGCGTATTTTTCAATTTACAATCACATAAAATAAACAAAAATGACAAAAGTGCCAATGTTACGCCCCGTTGCCGGGGAAAATGATAAAGTAAATAAAAGGTGGAAAAACTACACGAGCACGACACGTTAGCATTTTTTAGTGTGTATTCTCTTCAATCAGCCATGCCGCTACAAGTGCCGCCACTGTCTGTTGTCGTCTTCTATACCTGCCAGGCAAAAGCAGTTGAACACAGAATAGACGATCAATCATTTTTTATATTCCCAACTGAAGACACATAAAAACAATGAATTACTCTTCCTTAACTCACTCTTTCTAATGAACCGCTACACCAACACATGAAAACCATGAACCATCCCTTCAATCAGGTCTTGCCATGAACCACTACCATGTTCAGCCATAAGCTCTTGGTTAAATGTAACCTTTTATCATGTTCAATATTATAACCATGACACATTCTTTTTAATCACATCTTGCCATGCATTATTATTATTTCCAGCCATAGGCTCCTGCTTAAAACTTGACTTTTCTATCATGCTCAATATTATAACCATGACACCAACATGTAATATATATATACATTTCACTATTTTCTTACATTTTCTTTTACTATGAATCGATTATGAGAGAAAATAATTATAATAATANTCCAGCCATAGGCTCCTGCTTAAAACTTGACTTTTCTATCATGCTCAATATTATAACCATGACACCAACATGTAATATATATATACATTTCACTATTTTCTTACATTTTCTTTTACTATGAATCGATTATGAGAGAAAATAATAATAATAATAATAATAATAATAATAATAATAATAATAACAATAATACCTTACACCTGCCACACAGGCTCTTTGGTGGGTTGGTAATCCGGTTTCTCCAGGTCTGGTTTTAGTTAACTACTTAATTTACTAACTAATTTACTCACTGTATTATTGACAGAGTTAACCCCGCCCACTGCAGCTGAACATTGAGCTCTGCCTTGAAAAGGTGCAGCCAAATGAAAGGTAAAACGTCACTGACAGGACGGGGTTGGCTACACCTCTTACTGGAAACAGGGGACCCGGAAAACGAGATTTATATCAAGCTACATACAATAATACCGGAAGTTGGGAGAATTTATCTACAAAATAATAGTGTGAATAAAAGTAACAACAACAACTGCAGTAACACGTGACGAAAATGAATAAAGTACAGCTATTAAGCTCATGCATATGTAAACAAGCATTACAATCCAACAATATAATAATAGTGTAAGTATATCATAAATAACAGACAGGTACCAATACTCTGTGTTTTTCTTATCTTTAATAAATATAACCAAACAGTTAACATCACAAATTATTTTGTTGTTTCTTCAATTCAGGCTACTGCCTAAAGCCCTTCCTTTACTTACCTTAAGGATGCAATAATGGAAGAATATTCAAATCTTTACAGCTGAGAAGCTTGAGCCTTAAAATGTTGGTATTCTTACATGAGAAAAGACTTAAAATTGCAGATTAATCTTCTGTCAATCAATTTAAGGATTAATTAACTAATAGTTTAAGCTCGGGTGGTTTAATTTCCAGCAAAACATTATGTTATATAAGCTCTTCATTTGATGCATGTACATGCGAATATCTTAATTTGGAAAATCTGTAATAACCAAAGCTGGCAGATAGATTTCCATCTGAGTTGTAAAGTGGCATTAAAAGAAGTAAAGTCAAAGTACTTCAAAAGTGCAGTACTTGTGTAAATGTACTTCGTTACTTTTTACTGCTGAACAGATCATTTCATGCACTGCGGATTCTGCAGTCCGCACTGCATCTTTTTTGCTTTGCCCATTTGTCTTATTTTGAAAGCCATCGCCGGAAGTCCTGTCTTTTCCTTCGGCTAACTTAGCATTCGTGCTACTTCTGCTCTCCCCAGCTCGCTAACACAGACGCGCCATCTCTGAACAAGAAGTCCGTCGACATTTTTAGCAGCAGAAACGATTAAAAACTGACAGGTTTACACCCGGGAACTTGTGAGACGACAATATAACGTTATATTCGTTAAAAAATAATTTCCGCGGGAAGGCAACTTGGATAAGAAAAGTGTTTTATCCACTTAGCTAACTGTTAGCTTGTGACGTTGTTAGCTAAAACAACTTAGCTGCAAAGGAATTTCACAGCCTGTTTATGTTTCCGCCGCTTCAGAGAAATGTTGGACGGATCTCCGGCTCACAGCGATGAAACCAACATCGGCAACGTCGAAAACAACAACCCGGTGACGCTGATTTCTGGCAGCGACGGGCTGAACACGGGCAACAAAGCGAGGCAGGCGCTGCTGAAGAAAGGGGGGAGGAAGCTGCGGTCGGCGGCGCCGCTGCACCAGCACCAGAAACCCCCGAGAAACGGCCCCAACGTCCGCCTGTCCGACCACAACAACAACAACACTCTGACGGCTCCGTCCGCCAATAGACCCGCGGCTCAGCCCGGTACCGAGTTTCCTGCCGGTACACAGACCGTACTGACCCTCCATCATCTCAACCAGGGAGCCAGGAAAGAGGTGAGTTCCCTGGGTTGTAGTCGCTATCATCCGTTCGGCCTCCAGGGTTAGATGATAAACATGTTATTACAAGTTAGTCGTTTTATCAGGCAACGTAAAGGCTGTCTTAACCTAATATTATGCTCTTGATAAATCACCATGAGTTAACATAAATACCCAGATCCATTACTGTGGCACTAAAACACACTTTAAAAAATATAATAGTAATTTTTATTCAGTGTATACAACTGGTACTATTTTTGTAACCCAACCAAAAACTACAAACACAAAAATAGTGAGAAATGGCATCACAGCTGCTCACAGCCCAACGTTTGTTTTGTCCAAACCTCAAAAAATGGAAATATTCAAGTGAAGTACCAAAACATACATATCCCCCCTCTCCTGGGAGCTTTCTGATTTATTAGTCAGTCAACAGAAAATTAGTTGACAACAGCAGTAATTTTTTAAGTAAAAGTCCCAATTTTTCACTTCTTAAATACGAATATTTGCTGAGAGATGATTATCTCATGAACCAAAAGACTCAGTGATCAACTCTGAAAATAACCAGTAGTTGAAAGTAATGTTTAGATGCAACCCTGTTAACATCACTATTATTTAAGACATGCTTACAAGTTGTCATTAAAAAGATAACTAGTATAACTTAATTAAACAAAAAAAATGTTATTGTAGTCTTGAAATGAAGTGGATTTAATCTGTGGCTGAGGCGGCTTGAGGTGACGCAGTTACTAATCCCTGTGGTGTAAACAGGAGTCATGTGATGAACAAGCCCGTCTTCCTCTTTCTGCCGGCTGCTTCACCGAGGTGAGATGCCCTGAGCTGACACTGCTGACAGGCGTGTCTGTCAAGCAACAGAGGAGAGGAAGTTTCAGGTTTCGTAACACTCACTAGAAAAGGCCTCACAGATGTTTTATGGTGCAGGAAGTGCGGCTTTGTAACAGAGCAATGGCTTGTTGACTTGTAGAAAACATTTTTTTATAGGATGTAACTTGTCTGTTGATAGGTCAGGTACAGAAGACAAAAAGATGGGACATGAGGGTTGTGAAAGACGTTTGATCAAGGTCTGAGTTTTGGCCAAACTGGTGTACAGATGAAGTCTCCCACCAGGTGATAGGACCCTGTCTTCAAAGCTGAACCACTCCCAGACCCCCGAGGGGGGAGCTAACTCTTTGTGCCGTGTTTCTGTCATTTTCCCTGTTTTTCCATCAATGGTTCTACTTTCAGTTATTGTTTCCCCATCCCCAGATAAACAAAAGTAAAGTCTTCTTATCAACTGATATGTATATGTAACATGATATGACACCTGTAAGTGGCCAATTAATCTTTATTAAAGGTTTAAGACATATTTTGTTTCAAGGTCAAATCTAAACTTTTATACTCAACATGATGATATTGATTCAGTTTTCAAAAGTTCAATGACAGGATCACTTCTCTCATGTCGTTGAATTTAAAAACGGTTTGTTTGTGTTTTGTAGCTGCTCAAATCTAAAGGTGGCAGATTGGAGCCAGGAAGCCAAACTTCCCGCAACCACCCCAGACACGAGCAGCTGACCCAGAATGTGAACAGTCGGAGCCAAAAGCCGAAGCAGGACCAAACCGCCGCTGCTTCCCACGCCGCGAAGAAGAAGGATCGCAGCAGCCCCAACAAGCCTCCACCCCGGGAGCAGAAGAAACCTCTCCACGCCTCCAACAACCTTAAGACCGTGAGCGCCGCGCCCGCTGAAACCGCACCAGAATACCTCAAAGATGGCGAGAAAGTGTACGCTGGAGCCAAGTTCAGCGAGCCGCCCTCACCCAGCGTCTTGCCCAAACCGCCCAGTCACTGGGTCGGAGAGAACGAGCCTCAGCTCAGCAACCAGAGCCGAGAGCAGATGACTGTTCATTTAAAGTCGCTGCTGAAGGTTCAAGACACGTCATGACCGCCGCCACGGAGCAGAACGACCCCATATCTGATTAACAACCAACGCCAACAACTGGAAACAGTTTAATTCAGTAAATGGAGTTTGGCCTTAAACACACTGCGATATGATGTCGGGAGTTTTTAAGAACTTTAGTACAGTTTCCCATCAGCCAACACGCGGCGAGTGTTGAGGAGGCGTCGTGTTGTTGCTGGAGGTCTGACTGACATGCCGTGTATGTCAGTGGCTTCTGATCGAACATTTTCTGCCTTTCTGTCGGCAGAGAAAAGAGAGGATGAGACTTTACTGTGATGGAGTTTGAGGTGTGAAAGAAAGAAGAGCAGACAGTTTCTCCAGCAGCAACGCCGTCGGTGCCTCGTGTTTACATTATGCAAAATGACGATGGCACTTTCTTTAAGGCAGCCTCGTGTTGATCGACTTTTTAAAGAGCTTGTGTAAATGT